TTCATTGAAAAGTGTCAATGGCGGTACAAGTGAATGTGGATGAAAGATCTTCCACTTAAGGGAAAACATTGTGGATATGCTCATACTTGAGGGGGAGTTGAAAAATAATTACAAGTGTGAGTAGTGTGAGAATGTCCCATATTAGTTAGGAATATGGAGACTTGAGCATTTATAAGTGGGAGAACTCACACACCTGTCACCTTAAAATTTCGGGTGAGTATGTGGTGTATCTCTCACAAATGCGTGTTGCTCATAAAAGAAGACGTACCCCAAAGTAAAATTATCCCTCGAGCAAATAAATAAATTTAAGAAGATAAATAGAAAAAGAAATTAAATCTCATGAAATCTTGATGAATACTAGCTAACTCAAACGGTTTGCAACCAATCAAACAAACAAACAAGGAGTGAGGTGGACTCTAGATACCAATTGTGGAATAAATGATCAATTTCTGTGATTAGGATTATACATAGATGTTGTATACATATTCCCTCCATTCTCTTTTATAAGATGGTTTTAACTTTTTAGATTCTTTGATTAATTGATGTATCTAGATTTTTAATAGTACAAATACATTATTTATCTAATGTAAATATATAAACTTTAAAGTACTGGTATTTGTCATACCCCAAATTTTCCCTGCTGGTTTCTATCTCTTATTTTCCAGAACTATCATTAAGAAGTCATGGGCCTTTCTAAATCAGAAAGGCTCATGTAAAAATTTCTACCTGTTTTTAATATTGAAACGGAGGTGCACGCTATTGAAGAAATCTTGGGCTATTTCAAAATCAGAATGTCCCATTTAGGTGGAAAGGTGTATAAAACAATTCATTTTGTTTAAACCCAACAAAATTAAATTAGTAGGCCCATTTACGCATAAGAAAGGAAAGGGGTATTGTTTCTGAGATGAATGGCCCAATAGTTAAACATTTGGCCCATTTCAAGTCTTTATTTCAAACTGTATTTTGTTTTATTAAAATTATTATTTTTAAATGTTACATGATAATTATATTATAAAATTAAATAATTTTTTATTAAATTAAAAAAAAACGTTTGGTTAAAAAGGCCATCATATGATCCGTTACAGGCCCAAGTCTAAATCAAAACGCTTTGCTGCAAATACTCATTGTTCGTATCATTAAGAAAAATAATGCTTATTTTACTACTAAAACAAACACTGTTTGAATCAAATATTTCCCTTACTACATACAAATCGAAACGCAAACAGAACCAAATTTTCAAATAAAATCAAAACTTTACATGAACGAATCAAATCTAGAACCAAAACAGAAACAAATCAATACAAATCAAGAACTAATCAAAACTTATACAAACGAATCACAATAAAATCAGAAACTTTATACAAATCTCTAAATTCCTAATTCTCTAAATCAATATAAAAATAACGAAAATTACATTAAAACTTTCCTAAAATCATCTAATCTAAAACACTATAAAAACCTAATAATTCTAAGATAAAGGGAGGAAGAATTTTCACAGAGGAAAATTAGACAAAAGTTTTACAGAAGGAGCATCCACGGAGAAGACGATTTCTAGCTCTCTCGTTGCGTCGCTGTCAAATCTCGTAAACCTAGGGTTTCAACATTTGAAACCCTAGCTTGCCTCGTTGCGCTGTCGCTGTTGTCGTGATCTTTAAAACACCATGGCCATACCTGCGAAAAAGAGGAAAGATAGGAGATCAGAGGGTAGATAGAAAAAACATAAATATATAGGGCTCATGATTTGGAGGTGATATCTAAACACTTATCTCTAGGGTTATTTTTGTTGCGTTTTATGGAGATTTGGGGTTTGGGATTGTTTCTAGGGTATATATGGTTGTTGTATCGGTGAGGAAGGATTTTACGTTGCGCCACCATGGGTTGGGAGTTTAGGGTTTTGTTTGGATTAAGAAGAGCGAACGAGGGAGGTCTGAGAGATAGGAGAGAGAAATGAAAATGTAATGAAAGAAAAATATATGTCATATGATTCAGTGTGTGTCAGTCCACCGCTATTACCCTGCGCCCTTCTTTATAACTGTGTGATCACCATCAAACGACCCAAAAAACGTGTGTTCACCAAGATACCATGTGCTCGCTTACACCCAGTCCAAACAGACTCAAAACCTTTGGGCCAAGCCCGGTCTCTAATCGCACCCTTTTGTTATTTTTTTGTTTTTGCTTGCACATTGGAAATTTCAACCCCTAGGCCTAATGGGCCAAGTCCAAAATATGGACTTGGGCCCCTTCGTATAACCCCCCCCCCCCCCCCCCCCCCCACCCACAAGTTTTACTACATAGATAAAAAATGCAACCCCGTATCTTTTTGGCCAGGATTCAATATCTGAATTTAGGGCTATACTGTAACACCCTTCCCATTTTTACTTCAAAACGTAATTCACACCCCCTGTGTTTTTAATTTAATTTTTCTCTTTTATTATTTTATAATTTTTTATATTTTATGTTTCCTATTTTATACTTACAATATTATATTTATTATTGTTATTATTAAATCAAATAATATTTTTCTAAACTCATCAAATATTTTATTTATTTATGTGCATTAAAACATTTTTTAGCATGCATTAATAAGACATTTTTCACAATTAATACGCTAAAACATATTTAACCAACAATAAACCATTTGCATAATAAATTTATTCCACAATCAATTTTCGAAAAGGGTTACAAATATATTTTAATTATCTGCGCGCTTTGTCCAAAATCTCCGCTATTCACACACCTGGACTAAGTACAAGGAGAATTCGAAATATCTTCGTAATCTATAAAAAAACACCAACCCATGCGAACTACGAATTGAGACTTTAATTCCTCATAAGAGGATACGTAGGAATACGACTTAAAATCGTGGTGAGTTCCCCTAATAAAAAAAATTAAAACCCTTACCATAAACCTTTAAAGTCTAAACTCTGGTATCATTGTGAACAAGGTAGATGAGGGGTGTCTAACACATTCCCTTCGTCTAAAACGAAGTAAGAACCTAGAATCTCTGGGTACAAAATTAGGGTTTCCTATTAGATTCCCTTCCTTAGGATAAAAACTAGTAGTGACGACTCTCGATTTAAATCCAGTTACAATAGTATATTACAATATAATCCTTTTGATTAAAAGTTTTAATTGGACTAATTGCAAGGGTAAAATCGACTTATCAACTACTAAATCTCTTTATATTGATTTGGTTTTAAATGCATCTGAGGTGGCACATCCATATTTTTTATTGACATTTTATAATCAATTTTTTCCATACAACCTTTCAATGCATTTCATTTTCAAATTTATATCTCTTCACATTGGGAAATGGAAATCCATTTTTTCATGTGAACCATCATAATCTTTCTCTTGGCTCGATGCATGCAAAAGGGATAATGAAAAGTCACTAAGTTATCTAAAATTTCCCCTCTCTCTCTCTCTTCGACCAACACAACTCTCCACCATTACCTCATCTCCTCTACTGCAGTCTCCCTCCGTTTCTTCTACGCTACTGCTTTTCTCCACGCTTCAAGCTTCAACTTTACACGCAGTGGATTTGAGATCAACTTCTTTATTCCTCTTCGATCTGTTTGAAGAAGATGAAGATGGTGAGTATAAGAGAGGAGTAAAAGTTATAAATCCACTTGATTGCTTAACATGAATATGGTGGTGTAAGCTGGAGGTTGGTTTAAAGGTCTGCAACAAAGGTGGAAATTGAAGCGAAAATGGAGATGGTTGTTGGTGATGCTGGAAAGTTGGTGGTACGGTTTATGTGAGTTTCAATGGAGTTGTAGATCTGAAAGTTAGATGTAGGTGATTTAATGTTGGTTACAATGACTCTATGGCTTGAAATTTATGAGAGTGAGGTTTAGATCTATTTTTGGTTCTCATTATCCTCACCCTACCATGTAAGTTTTTTTGTTCTCTTATTTGCAGATTTAAAGATTTGGTTATTGTTTTAATGTCTTGGTTTCAAACAATCTGTTCATAATTCCCAAGAAAAAAAAGTTCAATATCCTTTTGCAAAATGCCACAAGGAAGTTCCAATCATATTTAGTAAAGGAAATCACTAAAACGATTAACCTTTAGGTCTATTTGGTTTTTAAATTTGCATAAGCTAACTATAGTCTTGAATTTTGGTATTAGGAAAATGGTTCAATGCAGATACTGAGGAGATCATAGCACAAGCTCTGCAAACTGGGGGAGGACCAAATGTTTCTGAAGCCTACACAATTAATGGACTTCCAGGCCCATTGTATAACTGCTCTAAAAAAGGTACCAAGTGCAGATAAATGTATCTTCTAAGAATAGTCTTGAATGCTAAAATATTGTTGCAAATAATTACTAAAATTAAATATGAAACCTTATATATAACTACATATTATTCTAGTTTATTACAATAGAAAAAAAGGCAATAGTAGATGAACACATTCACAAGTTTAGACACCAATATATATATATATATATATATATATATATATATATATATATATATATATATATATATATATATATATATATATATATATATATATATATATATATATATATATATATATATATATATATATATATATATATATATATATATATATATATATATATATATATATATATATATATATATATATCAGTACCAAATTACATCTTATAAAGCAGTTTTCTTTTTTTTTAAATATAAATATAGGAATTGACAAAGGTGAGATTTGAATTAATTAATCTTTGTAATGGGAAGAATAGTCTGGTTGTTGATTATGTGCTATTTACTGAATATTTGAACTCCAGGTGGGTTTGACTGTCGATGAAACATCCAAGAATGAACATGATGAGCGACAACGCATACATGTCACTTTTTTCAACCCCATCAATTTTATGTTATCTATTAAGTTTTGTAATTATTATCTACTGACTGTTATCTTTTCCACTGGCAATTCAGATGACGGATGCTTGCTGCATACTTTCGTAGAGCAGACGGTGGGCGTGAGGGATATCATCCGTGCAGGACATGTAGACCGATGTATAGTTTGCACCTAAACATTTTACTGATATTTGAAATTTATCTCTTGAATTTTTATGACTTTGTTTAATTTGATGTTAGATTTCTTTGTGAATTTTTTTGTTTTTATATGTTCGGAGTTTTTTTGTAGGTGTTTTACTTTTTTATTTGAAAGTTTTCATTTGTGTTTTTACTGAATTTCTATCTCACTCACGCACTAATATCTGACTGGTTATTTGTTTTTATTTTTATTTTTGAGTTGTCAGGAGAGGAATGGCGTGATATTATTGAGGTTTGTTAACTCGACACACGTCAACTCACTTTTACGTTGTATATGTAATCTTGAGTTGTTTTAATTTCTATTTTTTCATTTTATAACATTCATGACATTGTATGAAATCACTTTCTTTAGTTTGGGAGTTGAGTAAGACATAAATGTGATTGGTTGGATAACCACATCTTCTGGGTACTCCAAAAATTATTATTGTCTCGCATACCTTGCAGAGTTCTTGCTCTCCTCATCATGTATCATGATCGGATAGTTGAAATTGCTTCCCCAATATTCAATCGAGTGGTTGTTATCTTTCCAGCATTTGATGTCTTCTTTGCCATCTTCTGTGTTGTTTTGGCATGATTTATTGGCATTTCTCTCCATTGTTGTATGTACTATATCATTGCTATTATTTATGTTGTTGCAGGACATGTATGAATAAAATATATTTTATGCGGGTTAGACAATTACATGGGAACCTTCTCTAATTGTTCTATTTGTTTCATTTTGAGAAAATATAGGATGGTGCGTCAGAAGCAGACCTCAGTATTCTTCCAAAATACAGATTTCGATTATTAAACAATGAGGAGAAGGCTAGCGGTGGAGCTATATTGATGGTTCCCACAGAAACCCCTAGTGGATACTTGGCTAGTGAACAAATACCTGAGAATGCAATATGGTTTCCTAAAACACAATTTATTTCAGTCTCAGATATTTATAGTTTATCACTTCTGAGAAAGTGTTTCCTTAGAACTGGTATGTTTCGACTCTTCAAATATTGTCACTCTCTTGATAAAGATATAAGGTCTTAAAAGAAGTTTTGAAAAATGATGCATCTCCACTCTCGCATATCCTATTTCAAGAATTTCGGTCATGACGAGAGTCTCGGGGCTCTACGTAGTCCCAACCCCACAAGGGTATTAATTTTGTTTTGCTTTTGATATTTCACTTTTAATGAGAATGTTTCACATGACAACTGATCTCAAATATGCAGAAGCTCATTAATTAATGTGATGATATATCCGTATCGTGTCTACCATCTTCTTATGTTGCAGCATCTTGTGCAATATAATTATCTCTCTATAATCATAGTGTTGTTATGTATTTCTGCAAGATCTGTGTGATAAGACATAAGATGTAACACATAGGAGGGGATAAGATCGAATGCTTTTCATTTTCAAGCGGAACAAAACATCTATTAGTGTATTTGTCTTGCTTTTGGCCATGATTTGTTTTAGTGTTTTTGTCTCCTTTCTTGGTTCTAAAAAGCTGATTCACACAACTTCTTGATTTGCAGAAAACAGTGTGTACAAACTTTTAATGTATTTGATTTTCTGAATATTATTGTGAGCAAGGTTCCTAATTTAGGCGGTTCTGTTGCAACTGGCGACGACCAAACTGTCACTAAGAGGAGGTTTGTGTTTGATTGCTCCTCCTATTCTTTTGGGTGAGTTTTGTATGCTGACTGTTTTTGTTGTGTTTTAGGAAAGTTGTTGAAGATGATGATAATGACAACGACAAAGAGACCAATAGAAACAAAATGGTAATATAAGTTATCTTTTTCAAACCTTTTGATTAGTAATGTCCCTGCACATGACCTTGCATATATGTAATCTTATGAAGTGTTGTCAATTGCAGATTGAGGAAAATAGCATTTTGTTCAAATTCCACTACACTACACTGTAACACCCCAATTCTACTCCAAGCAATTATGCAAAATAAATCAGAGTTACGAAATTTCAATCATACAAATGAATCGGGAAGTCACAAATTCTTCTAATAAATTCATTGCATTCATCATGGATATATAACACTTTTTCAAAACATCGGATGAACCATCAACATAACATCTTACATTAAATAATTCAACAACTACGCAGCGGAATCCTTCAATAACATCTTTAAATAAAACAGCAACTTCGAAACATCTCATATTTAGTAAATAAACAAATTAAAGTTTAACAACTAAAAATCAGCAATCAAAAATTAGCAAGTGTTCATCCCCCTGAGTGTTACATATCAGAGCAATGACACTGACTCGATCTATTGAAGGTATACGACCTTCACTCTCGATTACCTGCACGTTACCAACATAGGGGCAACATTCAAACATAAGGGGTGAGATATCTAACAATATAATAAAGCGCATGATAATTAATATATTAAATTAGATCAGTCATATCACCACTTCTCATCTCATAATCAACAACAGTTACAACATATATACTCATTCATCAACATCAAATACATTTCATTATTCATTCATATAATGCGACTTAAAACTATGCAAATGCATGTGGTACCATTGGAGAAGAACTCCCATCTAAAAAATCTGCCAATTAATAGAGGCATCAACAAGGCATAGCCTTCATCTCAAAATTTGCCAATCAAGGCCATCTCAACGAGCATAAGTCCCATCTCAAAAATGCAATGTGTGCGACTCATCATGAATGTAATATCAACACCCAAATCATCTCAAAACACATCTCAAAACATCTCAATTAACATCTCAAAATCACAACATCTCAATTACAGAATCTCATAAACATCTCAAAACATCTCAATTAACATCTCAAAATCACAACATCTCAATTACAGCGTCTCATAAACATCTCAAAATACTTTATTAAACATCATTTATTTATCAAACGTCATTTGTTTATCATAGATTATCGAACACCACTTTATTAACCACATCTCATTAATAACTCAGCTGTATATCAATAATACAGTAATCCATACTGTCATTCTGGAATTTTACATTTTTACTGCCACTAAATCCTACTATCATAATTCTAACAGCAACCTCTAAACATCTCATGTTCATCATTCTGTCCAAAAACCATCACCACGATCATTCACGGGAATTAATTCTAAATCTTAAATTGGTTACTAACATTACACTTCTTAATCATCATCTAAATCATCTAGAATAGAGTTCATCGCGTTAGCTAATCAACGCTTTAAACGGCATCTCAAACATCATCTTAAAACTCAAGTTACAGCAGTTAAAAACCGATTCTGTCAAAAATCAGACCTTATGGGTCGACACAAAACCTTATGGATCGACTCATCCTGCTTCTCCTTTACAACACGGGTCGACGCAAAACCCTATGGATCGACTCATCTTGACTTCAAAATGCAGCATGTATCGACACATGCATCTCACCGGTCGACTCATCATGAGTCTCACACACTCATGTATCGACACATCCTCTCTTCGTGTCGACTCATACTGAGTCTTGCAGCCTACATGTATCGACGCATGCCTCCATGAATCGATGCATCCGGTTACAGTCTGCATAATTTTCTGCATTTTCTACTGTAATTTTACTACGGGAATTATGTTACAGTCCTACAAACCTCATTATAATCATGGTAATTCATCACCTAATCATTAACCTATCATACTACATCAATTAAACAACATCATAACGTCATTATTCATTCAAATTCATCAAATCGTCATCATACATCATCCAATTCAAGAACAAAAACAGCAATCCTCTAACCCCACATATCAAACATCATGAACCCAATTATAAAGCCAGAACCCCACCCTTACCTTGGATTTAAGGTCGCTCTACAATTTATGGGTTAAATCTTCGTTCTTTCCGTTTTCCACTATTTCCAGCAGCTTCACGTTCTCTTTCTCAATCCTTATTCCTCTACAACTTCCTCCTTCTATTCTTCTCACAAATGATAAAATAACCTAATATTATTATATTATTCTTATTAGGCTCCAAACCTACACACCCTTATTACTTCCACTCACACAATACAGGCCCACATGAAATAATATTAGCTTCTAACATTATTTCACCAAATAGTAATATTATACCTCTAATATTATTATTTCTCCACTTAATAAAATAAATCCAATTATAATATAACACTTCTTCACAAATATTCCAAAAATAATTTAATTAAATAATTAATTAAATTACGGGCGTTACAACTCTCCCCCACTTAGAATATTTTCGTCCTCGAAAATTTACCTCAATCAAACAATTCAGGATAGGAGTCTCGCATCTTGCTCTCCAACTCCCAAGTCATCCTTTCACCAGCAGCTCCTAGCCAAACCACTTTAACCAAGGCAATCTCTTTGCCCCTCAGAGTCTTCATTTCACGATCCGCGATCCGTACAGGCATCGTCTCCACCGTAATATTATCCCGTACTTGCACATCGTCCATATGAATCACATGAGATGGATCTGAAATATACTTCCGAAGTTGCGACACATGAAACACATCATGCAAATTCGAAAGATTAGGCGGTAAAGCCACTCTGTAAGCAACATTCCCCACTCTCTCTAAAATCTGATACGGTCCAATAAAACGAGAAGTGAGCTTCTTAGACTTCAATGCTCATCCAACATCAGTCACAGGTGTAACTCTCAAAAACACATGGTCACCAGCTTGAAATTCTAAATCTTTCCTTCGCTTGTCATGATAACTCTTCTTTCTACTTTGTGAAGCTTTCATCTTTTCTCGAATCAACTTCACCTTCTCAGTAGTCTCACGAACAAGTTCAAGTCCAAGCACTACACTTTCACCAGATTCATGCCAACATAATAGAGTTATACATCTTCGACCATACAACGCCTCAAAAGGTGCCATTCTAATACTAGAATGATAATTGTTGTTATAAGTGAACTATATCAAAGGAAGATAAGTATCCCATGAACCTCCCTGCTCGAGAACACATGCCCTCAACAAGTCTTCCAAAGATTGAATAGTCCATTCACTCTGACCATCTGTCTGAGGATGATACGCTGAACTCAACCTCAACTTAGAACCCAACGCTTCTTGCAAACTCTTCCAAAAACCCGAAGTAAATCTGGGATCTCAATCTGACACAATACACAAAGGAACACCATGCATCTTCACAATCGCACTAATATAAACCTCATCCAACTTCGATACTGGAAAAATGATGTTAATAGGAATAAAATGAGTTGACTTCGTAAGCCTATCAACAATTACCCAAATTGAATCATGTCCTCTTAAATTATTTGGCAACCCTGTCACAAAGTCCATTGAAATGTTGTCCCATTTCCATTCTGGAACTTTCAACAGTTGCATCAATCCTGCAGGCTTCTGATGTTCAACTTTCGACTTCTGACAAGCCAAACATGCATACACAAATTGAGCCACATCACTCTTCATCCCAGGCCACCAAAACAAACCTTTCAAATCTTGATACATCTTTGTAGCTCCTGGATGAATACTCAACTTACTTCTATGACTCTCTTCAAGTATCACTTTCTTCATCTCAGCATCATCAGGAATACAAATCCTGTTACGAAATCTCAACACACCTTGCTCATCTAGCTTAAAATCACTATTCTCAGATTGATCAGTCCCAACCATCAAATCTACCAGTTTCACATCCAACTTCTGAGCTTCTATGATACTGTCTAAAAATTCATTATTAATCTTCAACATACCCAACATAACACTCTGTGGAGTAACCTCGCAAACTAAGCTCATATCTCTGAACTGCTCAATCAATTCCAACTCTTTAATCATCATTGCTGACATATGTAAAGTCTTTCGACTCAATGCATCAGCTACCACATTCACCTTTCCTGGATGATAATTCAAACCGAAATCATAATCCTTTAACAATTCCAACCATCTTCGTTGCCTCATATTCAGCTCTTTCTGATCAAATAAATACTTGAAGCTCTTATGGTCACTAAACACTTTAAATCTAGAACCATAAAGATAATGCCTCCAAATCTTCAACACAAAAACAACAACAACAAGTTCTAAATCATGCGTAGGATAGTTCTTCTCATGAGTCCTCAACTGCCTTGATGCATAAGCAACTACCTTACCATTCTGCATAAGCACACCTCCTAAACCCATCTTAGAAGCATCACAATACACCACAAAAGACTCTCCTAGATTAGGCAACGTCAAAATCGGAACCAACGTCAACCTCTTCTTCAATTCCATAAAACTTTACTCGCACTGAACATCCCAAACAAATGCTCTACCTTTACAAGTCAACTTAGTCAACGGAAGTGACAACTTAGAAAACCCTTCGATAAACCTTCTATAATAACCAGCTAATCCCAAGAAGCTTCTAATCTTAGTAGCTGACTTTGGAGTTTCCCATTGCAACACAACATCAACCTTCAATGGGTCTATAACAATGCCACTACCTGAAATCACATGACCAAGAAAACTAACCTCTTTTAACCAAAACTCACACTTGGACAGCTTTGCATACAACTTCTTCTCTTTCAAAACTTGCAATACTATTCTTAAATGTTCAGCATGCTCTTCTTCTGACTTAGAGTAAATCAAAATATCATCGATGAACACCACTATAAACCGATCCAAATAAGTATGAAAGATACGATTCATATATTCCATGAATACTCCCGGCGTATTGGTAACACCGAAAGGCATCACCGAATACTCGTAATGTCCATAACGCATCCTGAAAGCTGTCTTCTAAATATACTCATCCTTCACTTTAATCTGATGGTAACCCGATCTCAAATCAATCTTACTAAACACACAGGCATCCACCAAGTCATCTATTCTTGGAAGCGGATACTTGTTCTTAATCGTCACTTTATTCAGCTGTCTATAATCAACACAAAGCCTCATACTTCCATCTTTCTTCTTTACTAACAACACTGGAGCACCCCACGGCGATACACTTGGTC